ATGAAGGTGCCTTAAGACTGTGGATGCCAAAAAACATTCTCTTGGATCACTCCCACCTCAGTTATTGTAGCTGTATCTGCCGGTGCAAGTCACGGAACTCCCTTGTGATAAAAGATGATAAAAGTTGTCCTTTACCGTCCTCCAAGGTGTCTTGTTCCACATTGGGGGGGTTACGCGACTCCTTCCAACACAGACAATGTTTGATGTATCACCCCCTCCGCCTTCACATCATTTTCATGGTTTCAAGCACTCTACTTACTCGTCTGGAGTCTTTTTGTGGTTAGCATTTAGAAAACCTATTCAAATCACACTTTGTTTCAATACAGGCTTTTGATTATGCCATCCCCAACTAAGTGATTCAAACGTTGGCACATTGGAAAAGCAGTGGTATCCATTTTTCATTTTATGGCATAATCCACAGCAGCGAGCGCCCCCTAGTGTGTGTGCTGATTACGTTTGTTCTAAATACTGAACAGGCACTGCCAATGTACCGAGTTGACGAAGAGAGTAAGTCTGCCACCTAGCGTTCCTTTTTCCAGGCACACCACATTGTTTCAGGGTTGATCAGTTGCAATTCATGCATCATAGACCCGAGTCTTGTATCACCTAGTTAAGTAATCAAATTTATAATTAGCGAGTTATTGCTATATTTCCAAAGAGATGTGACCTACCTTTTATTTTGATTGTACTTGAACGGTTTTAAACTACGAGGACATTATGTAAAATGTTTGAAAGGAATAATGTTGACTGTTTGCAGTATTTGTCCATTAGGCCATCCTGCTTCCCACCACTGTGCTGTTCAAAACACCAACCTAAATTAGCTGCCATTTCCTTAAACGATCCTTGATTAATCGAACACCAGATCTGCGTTTCAAAAGAATGAAAGCACGGTGCAGTTTTCAGTGTGAATTCAGAAAAAGAGAACATTAAAACACTGAAGATAACCTGTATTTGAATACCCATCAAGCGTGTTTACAGATGCAGAGAGCCTTTGCTAAATAAATTATGCATTTATCTCAAACGATGGATGGATGGATGCATGTAAAACTGTGCTCTTATTTCTCATATAGTGATGCCTAGATTATATAAACAGCTCTGTTGGTATCTGGTATTGTTTATTTTGGCAGTCTGCAAGTCATTCATCCCTATAAGATCTTTCTGTCCAATCATCAGGGAACGGACTCAACACTACTCATGTACCCATTCACCAACATGCATTATGCACTCATTCACATCTTCATGTATTTATAGCACATGAACAGTAAACCTCCTTGCCGTCTTGAGTGGATGGATCTTGCGTTCTCTCCCCCTCCCTCCTGTCACATCCTGTCGCATCCATCCCCGACTGTCCCCACCCCCGTCTCTCATTGGGTGCTGTGTGGTGTGATGGTTGTGGTTTCTGTCTGTGATGTCTCTGCCACAGCGTGTACCGGATTACTGCTCTGCATCAGATAGATAGATAGATAGATAGATAGATAGATAGATAGATAGATAGATAGATAGATAGATAGATAGATAGATAGATTTTTTTCAACATCATGGGAGTGGAACGCATATTTGTTTGCTGAGCTCGTGAGGTAAGATAAATGTCACATGATATTGTTTATGGGATGATGGCTTGATACATAACGTATTTTTTGGCGTGTGTCTCGTCAACATAGCTGTTGAGGTTGTGTTCATAAAAATCCATGTATTATCCTTCAGTACTTTACAATGTTTATCCACAACATACATTAAGTCACATTCCAACAGTGCTGCAGTGAGGCAGGCATTTATTGCCATGAAACAGCATCTCATCCCGATTGGAGAAAAGAGCTTTCACCGAGCAGTGTGAGCATCATTGATTGGCTGGTTGAGCCCTGTTGTTGAAGGCTGTATAGTACATATACTGTAGTACTAGCACATTGTTGTACATGTGGGATGCGGGGGGGGGGGGGGGGATGGGCTTTTAGGTGGAGGACGGAGGTTGGGAAGAGACTGAGAATGATTTTGTCAACTTCTGTATTGACCAAAACAAATACAGTGGGACCTCCAAAGTCAAACACAGTTTGATTGCCGACTCACTTTCAGTTTGTTTTAATTTCAGAAGCAAGGTGAATTAATTCATTCCAAGCCTCAATTGTTAACACCATAAAAACTTGATTAAGTGTACAGACAGCGTTTGAAGTAACAGTACAAACTGACCAGCTATCCCATGTCGTAATAAGTATTAGTTCCTTGTTCGATGGTTATCATTACCGGTACTCTTCCTATTTAGCCTACTACCGCAGAGACTATGGTGTTTAACAGGGCTGGATGATAATGGAATTTTTGTACCATTATCAGTCAATTATTCATTGACTTCGAAACTTGCAAAAAATGTATTCAACTACTAAAAAGTCAACTACCGGTATTCAAAACTATCATCATAGTCACGTGCTGATACATCACTGCATGTTGAACACTTGGTTTTTGAGCCAGCTATTCTTTTTGTCTAATGCAAAATGACCTTGTAAATATAATGTGAAATTCAAGCCTTTTGCGTTTTCATTCTGCGACATCCACACCTCTGATGCCTTGCGTCTTTGCATCAATTCAAACCAGTGAATAAGTGTCTCTATTCTCGATTTATATTTATTTTTTTATATACATCTCAACTTTGAATATAACTTGAAAGACAATGAGAAGATTAGTAAGAAGAATTAGTAAGAAAGTAAAATAAGAATATACTTATATAATAGGAATTTAAAAAAACTACATAAAACCCAATACCGACTGTTCCTACAGTGTGTGCATTTGCCTCTTGAGTGCAGCGTGGTCTCATTTATAAAATGAGACAAAAAGAAAGCTGGAATTAAAGTCGATTAATATGATTCTTTTTTTTCACAGAATGGGAGGAATTTGTGCCTTTGTGTACTATGTGTGTGAGATTCCACAACGTTTGTGTATGAATATTTGTTATTTGAAGAAATAGCACTTCTGAAGTTGATGCTAATTTGCCGTTAGCATGTCAATGCGATTTTACATTGACTTTAGCATTAGTACTTGCGATGTTTTTGTTAAAAAAAAACAAAAAAAAACGTAGTGAATATGAATATACAATGTGTGTAAATCATTTTGTTGTGCATTTAGATTTAGAGAAAACTCCAAATGTGTCATTAAACAGCTTCAATGATGCTTAAGGACGGCAAAAGCACATTAAACTGCTCAGCTCACACTTTTGACTCTTACGTGACCTACAAGCGCATGACAAGACAAGTAAACAAACAAGCAGAAGATTTTAGACAGTATGAGGCAGCAGTGGCCATCAGACCACAGGGCGTCAACACTGAGTCATGAGCAACGTTTTTCTCTGCAGGAACTTAACAGTGAAAAAGGATCTGGAAGTAAACCAGTCATATGATCCATGGTCAGCCCGAAGCTATTAGGGCGAGAGAGGGCCAAGGGAGAGAGCTCTTAGCGCATTGTTGCAAGTGTACATGAAGAGGAAAAGGGCAATACATCGTTTATTATTGCCTTCGGTCATAGTTTGTGTTATAACGGACGCTCCATAGGGTGCTGGCTTCCATATTTCTTCTCATGGATGCCTATATTTCCAAAGCCAGAGCTTAAAGGTAAATTTTGATTTGATAAGGAGTACCAAACTGATTGTTTATGTGTGCAAAAGGTCTTGTGTGACGTACTATATCTTTCTCTTTATTTGCAATGGGGACAAGGTAGTATGTTGGGCTTATATTCTGCTCGTAAATTCTGCAGATCCGCTTCTGAAGCACACCAACGCGAGCCATTTCGAAACCCTGGTATCGGTGTGACCCACAGTCACGTTGGCATCGAAGCATCAGGTCAAGGAGGCTCCCGCCCGGCTATGTATTCCCCCCAGAGCCTCCATCGCTGGGGCATCACTCACAGTGAGAGTATGGAGCGCTTAGCCTATGGTCAAGGTAAGCGGCCACTGCAAGAAGCGCGGTACAACCGAGATTGGTAGCCAGCTAAACACAGGCCACATATACAAGAATTCACACTCACACCTAAGAACAATTTGGAGTCTTAAGTACCATTGCTCTAAATCAGACCTAACAAAGTACGGCCCGGGTGCCACATCCGACCCACTCTGAGTTTCTGAATGTCCCTCACGGTGACCATTAAGTCAAAGTAAAATGCAAAGTACACAGTGCTTTGGTTTTAGAAGTTTATTTATTTATTTATTTATTTTATGCACACGTGTGGATGCTAGAAGTGAAATAGTGAGCAAGAGCTATGACTTGTGTCTGCAGTGTTGCCAACTTGGCGACCCTTTCATTATTTTCTGCAACTTTTGTGACCCCTCTAGCAAGTATTTGTCCTAAACAGAGACTAGCAAATACGACAATAGTGGTCCTAATGTTAGCAACATTCTTAAAAACATTAGCACATTATTTACCGAACATGAATATGCAATGTTTGTGAGATACAGTATGCCTAAAATTATGTGATTTGCGTAATAATTACAGCGCTATTATTTTTTTCATCCTCGCACATTCTCGCGAGAACGGGCTTTTGCAGTTGTCGCGCGTAGCCTACAGGTGGCGGCAAAGCGGCACGGTATGTATGACGTAGTGTTTCCTTTTGTGTGTCTCGTGAGTGAGTTGTTGACACCGCCCCTCCGGAGAGAGGCTGCAAGGCGGGCGGCACTGTCACAAGCAGACCGCGGCTCACTTTTCCTGGCTGTAAACAGCTCCACGGCGAAATCATGTACGGAAAAGACAGCGTCTCCGAGGAGTGGCTCCTCTGTATTTTGCCTCCGCCGGTTCTACGGACGTTCACCATATAGACTATCGAACGACGCCTATCTACGATCGGCGAGCCTCACGTCACCTCCCGTCGTTTCTCTTGGACTCGTGCTTCACCTGTCAGTATCGGTCATTGTTTAGCTGATGCAATTGCTGCATTTTGTAAACTACGGTTGTGAACGATCTCCGGGTAACTCGGCGCCAAGCTCACCCGCCGAGCGTGTGGCCAGACCAGTGGCTGGTGTGGATGCTAGAAGTGAAATAGTGAGCAAGAGCTATGACTTGTGTCTGCAGTGTTGCCAACTTGGCGACCCTTTCATTATTTTCTGCAACTTTTGTGACCCCTCTAGCAAGTATTTGTCCTAAACAGAGACTAGCAAATACGACAATAGTGGTCCTAATGTTAGCAACATTCTTAAAAACATTAGCACATTATTTACCGAACATGAATATGCAATGTTTGTGAGATACAGTATGCCTAAAATTATGTGATTTGCGTAATAATTACAGCGCTATTATTTTTTTCATCCTCGCACATTCTCGCGAGAACGGGCTTTTGCAGTTGTCGCGCGTAGCCTACAGGTGGCGGCAAAGCGGCACGGTATGTATGACGTAGTGTTTCCTTTTGTGTGTCTCGTGAGTGAGTTGTTGACACCGCCCCTCCGGAGAGAGGCTGCAAGGCGGGCGGCACTGTCACAAGCAGACCGCGGCTCACTTTTCCTGGCTGTAAACAGCTCCACGGCGAAATCATGTACGGAAAAGACAGCGTCTCCGAGGAGTGGCTCCTCTGTATTTTGCCTCCGCCGGTTCTACGGACGTTCACCATATAGACTATCGAACGACGCCTATCTACGATCGGCGAGCCTCACGTCACCTCCCGTCGTTTCTCTTGGACTCGTGCTTCACCTGTCAGTATCGGTCATTGTTTAGCTGATGCAATTGCTGCATTTTGTAAACTACGGTTGTGAACGATCTCCGGGTAACTCGGCGCCAAGCTCACCCGCCGAGCGTGTGGCCAGACCAGTGGCTGCTTAGCTCCGGAGACGCAGCCAAACATGGCATCGGCCGTCGAGCACGACCTGGCGCTTTCTGAGGCCGACAGCAGCAAGGATAAATCTCAGGTGTTCGGAATATTGAGGTTGCAAGAGGAGAAATCCAACATCGGCGAGAAATGTATACCCGCTGTGAGGGGAGGCGGGGGTGGAGGGGGAGACGGACGATGGCAGGCTCCCATCTTCGCGTTAGCCAGGAAAGCCTCTGAAACCATTTCAGGGAGCATTCATGTGCTGCCTAAAGTGTCGGAGAACAGAGCATCCGTGCCAGGAGAATGGAACGTTCAAGGTAATGTATCCCCCATCCGTACGATTTCTATAGCGCTTCTCCTCATTCGCTGATTTTGGGGAAGACAGAGGGTGACAGAGGGTACATAACACCCTAGACTGATCATCAGCCAATCGCACGTCACACTGCCATTAATACAGTCACAGTCGCATGCATATGCAATTTAGAGTCTTCAATCACTCTGGCTACCATATTTCTCCAATCTGAGAGGAAGCAGCAGAAAACACGCGCAAGCACAAAGAGAACTATGCTTTTGCTCTGCTGGGAACAGTATCTCGAAAAAATTCATAAAAGTTTAAATGTTTCTTTCTTTCTTTCAGCTTTGCGGGATCCCATGGCCATGGAACGAGCCAACCTGCTCAACATGGCCAAGCTGAGTATTAAAGGCCTGATCGAGTCAGCCCTGAGCTTCGGAAGAACGCTGGACTCGGACTACCCGCCTCTGCAACAGTTCTTTGTTGTCATGGAGCACTGTCTCAAACATGGTCTGCGAGGTGAGACGACTACAGCTTCATGCACTGCACATGTTGCAACTCCCTTTCAATAGATCCTGTGTGTATGTAAGTGTCTTATTGGCTCTCCTATTTTTTTCCAGTGAAAAAATCCTTTTTGGGATTTAACAAGTCTCTTTGGGGACCTCTGGAGCTGGTTGAAAAACTGTGTCCGGAAGCAGGAGAGATCTCAGCCTCTGTACGAGATCTGCCAGGACTCAAGTAAGGAGTAAACACGGCCCATGATTAGGGACTTCGACCAAAAATTCCCAACCAAAAATATCTCATGTCACACAAAAATCCACTGTGATACAATGTTCAAGATGCATTTCTCACAAGACATCAGCTCAGTGAGCAAGTAAGGATTAACCCCACATGAATATTTTCCACAAATGTGGTACTTTTTTCTTTTTTTTTCTGTATTTATAAACAATGTCTATTCTAGAGTTTTACATACGAAGTGAAAGAAAGACGAAGTAATCTGATGACATGTTTAAGTAACCTTTTCTTTGCATTAAGGACTCCTCTGGGTCGGGCCAGGGCGTGGTTGCGACTGGCCCTAATGCAGAAGCGGCTGGCCGACTATCTGCGACTCCTCATCACTCGAAAAGACTTACTATGGTAATTGTTAACACCCACACAAACACAAAAAGACAAACTTCTAATCATGAGTATTAAAATTGTTCATCCGAAGCGCGTGTGGCCGTACAGAAGTTGGAGGCAGTTGGACTACTTGTGAGAAGTCGTTGTCCTTTCTCTGCAGTGATTTCTACGAGAATTCAGCACTGATGCTGGAAGAGGAAGGCGCCGTGATCGTGGGCCTGCTGGTTGGCTTGAACGTCATTGATGCCAACCTGTGTGTCAAAGGTGAAGACCTGGACTCTCAGGTAAGCGCAACCACATCCGCTGCACTCCACTCACCTCGTCTACAGAACCCAGCGGCACTGAGCATGTTAATGAGATCATTGCGGGGGTAATTATAATTGGACATGACTTCTGTCGCTAATTTGTATCAAGTTATAAATAGGCTTGCTATTTACCGCTGCTACGGCGGGTCACTCATTGCATCTCGGTTTGTTTTATGTGCCTTAGTTAAAGAAAAAAGTAGATCATGATGTATTATCTATTTTTTAGGTCGGGGTGATTGACTTCTCCATGTACTTAAAGAATGACATCGATGATTACAGGAGCGAAGAGAGGTACGTTCTCCTGTTGTTTATTCGAACGTTTCATGCCTTGCCCCTTTAATAGGAATGTTTGTTTCCACGACAACAGGAACAGCCAGATAGCATCTATCTTGGATCAGAAAAACTACGTCGAGGAACTTAATCGGCAACTGAAGTAAGACTTCACTTTTGACCTCAGAGTTGGGAATTTCCAAGATATTCAAGGAGATTATGATTTGTGTTCAATATTGCTGTGTCCAGTTCTACAGTTCATGGGCTACAGGGCAGAGTGGACTCTCTGGAAAAGTCCAACTCGAAACTCATAGAGGAGGTGAGATTTAGCATCTTTGGTGAAAATGAAAGGTTGCACTCAAATTCATCATCCGTCTCTTTCAACTTTTTTGTTATGTGTACAGTTAGCGATCGCCAAAAACAACATCATTAAACTACAGGAAGAGAACCAGCAACTAAGGAGCGAAAACAGCCTCATTCTTCTGAAGGCACAACAACATTTAGAGGTACTCATACACAGTGAGGTACAAAAAAAAAATCAGTGCATGATCAGTGGGCACAGTGACCGAGCAAGATTTTGTGACTTGATTGACGACTTGCTTGACCAAGTAGTGACTTGACTTGATTTGCTTGATTTGTGTTTTTTCCCCCCGCAGTGACTTGGGCCTTGCTTGAGCATTGAAGGTTCCGACTTGAGACTGACTTGTGACTTGCGCATATGAACCTACTCCCACCTGTGCTGTATTGTCGAAAAGTTCATTTGTTTCAGGAGGCCAGTTCAAAAAGTCGAATTCATGTTTAGATTTAATGAAGATAAAATACTTTTCTCGTATTTTCAACTGTATATTAAAAATAATTGAGATTGCAATGTAAAATTCAAATTTTGGTGTTTCATACGCTGGATAGTATAATTATAAAAATAGAAAAAAAACTAAATATTTTATTCTGTGTGTCATGACACTCTGCATAGGAGTTTCACCTTTTTTTGTATGACTCTTTAGTTCTGAGAAGTACTTTGAGATGCATTAGGCCCAAGCCCGAAACGCTACACCAGTGGTGGAATTCCGTTCTATTATTGACCAAAACAACACAGCACAAACTTACGAGCTTTTTGTTCCTTGTTTTATGGAGGTGTCTCAAGGTGACGTGTCAGTGGAGAGAGACACATACAAACAGTCTCGTCAAGGTTTGGATGAGATGTACAACGAGGCGCAAAGGCAGCTGAAGGAGGAGTGTCAGCTCAGACAGGTGAGAGGCTGCATCTCACGTTTAAACGTCCGCCGTCTTGTGAGTTGTGCCAACGCCAGCCCTTGTGTACGTGGTTGTGACTTACGAACAGGATGTGGAGAATGAGCTGGTGGTCCAAGTGTCAATGAAACAGGAAATGGAACTGGCCATGAAACTTCTCGAGAAAGATATTCATGAAAAACAGGTGCAGATAACATCTCACGAAAAGTGTACAGTACCAGTCAAAAGTTTGGAAATACAAACAATTCAGTACTTCTTCATTATTTAAAAAAAAAAAAAAAATCTGAATTGCAAGTTAATACTTAAGTCATCACCATTATGATATTTATACAATATTGATGGAATTATTTGGTAAACAACAAAATGTGAATCAAAAACAGAATATGATTTACAGTTTAGATTTTTCCAAGTAGCATTCTGATTTGGAATGACTTTCTGTTCTCAGCTGTGCGTTCGCAAGAGCGAATCGCTTGAATTTCTGAACCTCTTAAATGTGTTTGAGAGCATTTGAAGGTGTCTCCCAACTTTTGACTGGTACTTTATCCGTACACCTAATAAATGTCAAAGAATTTGTGCAACTGTTATTGTCTACAAACAGGACACGTTGATCGGTCTGAGAAATCAACTGGACGAAGTCAAAGCCATCAATGTCGAGATGTATCAGAAGATGCAGGTGCATACAAACACACACTTTTCTTGTCTCATGTGACTGCTATGAAATAGAAATCTTCTGTTAGACCAAACTGGCCAACAGCTTCTGAACCAAGCATTCTCGTCTTCTAGTCATCTGATGACGAAATGAAGAAGAAGAACAACATGATCAGTCGTCTTGAGGAGAAGACCAATCAGATCACTGCCACCATGAAGCAGCTGGAGCAGAGGTGAGCAACCCACAATGTCTTGGGCAAACAAATTAATCAGCACAAGAAAATCATGTTTCCTCTTGTATCTCCTCAATTCACCCAACTCCTGGTTGCTCTCTTTTATATTTTTGTCATATTATCAGGCCGCCCTGACTCGGGGGGTTGTACAGACTTGTTGACTTTATTACTCCAAAATGATGCTTAGAGCTTGATGTCAAATATTCGCGAATCACGTTTTTTTTTTTTTTTTCGCAATGTTTGCGGAAGAGTAGGGAGCCCCTCGCTGGAGCAGATCATTTTATTATTCTGTACCAAAAATATCAATGACACCATCAGCGACTAGTTGACAACTCAACTTTTATCACGTTAGTGTTGACTTATAAAAAGAAATCTGTAATAATGCAAACCCTCCTTCTGACTGTGACCTTGCAGAGGAGAAACAGAGGAAAATGATTTTGGTCTTCACTCGAGTCACGCCTGTCAGGGTTTCTCCCAAGACAATCGGTCATTAGCCACCAACCGGAACGCGTTGTCACGGCAACATGATACACAATGAAGTCTTGTCATGAAAGTGTTTGAACCGGGTGGCCTCTCAAGTTTTGTCATCTCTTCGCTCACCAGATAACATTAGCTACAGTTAATGATTAAATGTATGAACTTTGTTTCTGTGCGAAAACACTCGAGTGAGTTTCAAAGAATTCTGTTCGTTCATTTCCGCGTTGGGTTCTGTTAGTTCTTCATGTTCCCTGGTGCCTTTGTGTGAAAGAAAAAAAAAACACAGCATTATTTTCAGAATTTTCAGGATGATTCCACTAACCCGTGGTTGATTTCTTGTGAGTCAGAAAAAAAACAACAATAAATTTACGCGACATGAATGGAATTTGCATTGTTGTGTGCGCACAGGAACTCACTTGCAGTCGTTGCTCACTTTTGTGGGAGAATTTTGTGGTGTCGTATGCAATAGACGATATGGATTCTCAATTTATTTGGCGTCCCATGCATTTGCATGAAGATTGCTGCTCCCCTGTAGCTCGATTTGGTCAACCAAACAATAAATGCGGGCTCTCACTCTGATGCAGCGCGGTTTTACACCACTGCACCAAAATGCAGCCACAATAATGAACATATTTGGTTGGTTATGAAGATGACAGTGTCAGTCATAACCAAGTATTATTGACAGTATCTTTTGATACAGGATTTCAATGGACCAGATGTGCCCAATGATTTGACATGTATGCCTTACATTTTATTTAAACCAAAAAAAATAGTCATAAATAAATAAAAGCTCCTTCTATCCTGTTCTTCCCAAATTATCAATGAAAGTCTAAAATACATATTGGAGCATATTTCCGTCAAGATTAACTTCTTCGTGATATCTTGGGAGAAATCCACTGACGTATTTAAGCTGCCACGCATGACAAGTTTGGGTATTGTTGCACTGTGTCGACGCTGATTCATGAGGAATCCTCCTCACGGCATCAGTGAGAAACCTCCCGTAACTCCTCGCCCCACCCCCCCGAGTCACCCAGCCATCCGTTTCAGTGTGCTCCATCCTCTGTGAATGGTTTTACTCTGCGCTGACATCGTTACTTATTATTTGCTGAGCTCAAAAGGAAGTTTTCATTGACAGCCAAACGAGTCAGCAGCGGTATATTGTGCTGGCATCAAACTGTGCTGTGATTGTCTTCATTTTCCCGCTTCTCTTCACGCCACTCATAGAGTGAAAAACAACCACAATGTATAACTCTTGCCTCGAGCGTGTCGGCGGCCAATTAGAATACCGATGTATTGACATCCTTTCTTCCTTCCTTTTCTTTCTGATCTTTTTTCCCCCCCTTGTTTCCTTCCTCTCTCGCCTGTTTATCTCTTTTTATGCCATGAAATCATCCATTGATCCATTTTACCCACATTGCTTTGCGATTTGGTTCCTCTTCCCCTGCGCAGCGATAAAGATCTGCTAAGTCAGACCAGAACTCTGGCCATGTCGTTTGTCAAGTGTGCCAGCACAGACACCGAGCACCAGTACAAGCTAGTGAAGGACATCTCCTTCTGAGCACAAACGCATACTTACACAGGGACTGACTTGGATCAACGATACCCAGCTTTACTTATATTTTTTTCCTTTTTTCCCCACGTGTTTTTGTGGACGGTGCAGTGTGGGGAAATATTGTCGTCGTTGGCTGAGTGAGGGAGGCGGGCGGCGGGGGGGAATCGTTTGTGATGATTGCAGTTGTGATATCTTATTTTCTTTCATTGTCACGTCACCTTTTCCTCATTGTAACATCTCTTGAAAGATATTAAAAGAGAAGCTGTCAGAGCAGGGGGTAAACTCCACATACCGCTATAAATAGACGCAAGCTTGCTGGTGACTTTAAGATGAAAGTTGAGGCTCTGGTGTATACGGAATATCACTATTTCGGAGCAATAACTTACACAACACCCAAGTGATATTTTCTCATTCATAATGCTTGGGGCACCATCCACTTCGGTAGACGACATATATGAACATAGATTTTTTTTTTTTTTTTAATTGTACAATCTGAGTTGTTGTTATTATTCCTGCTCGTATATACATTTAACCCATCAACAAAAATGCTAATATGGTAGTCACTTGAACAAGAGACCGCTTCAATATAGAGGAAGTGCAACTGCATTGATATTTAAAAAATAAAAACGTGTTTAAAAAAAAAAAAAAAGAAATGGAGAATGTTACAGTTAAGCAATTTCTAAGTTGCGCTGTATGCAAAAAGCTGATGGTCGCAATGCAGTCAAGATTTGATTCCGTCGGATGTCCGATTATCGATGTCTTGAATCAATGCATATTTTCTTCCACGCTCTCTTTTACTTACAGTTTGATGATTTCATACTTTTAATATAATTCTAAGATCCACATTTTCACGATGAAATGAAACTACAGGTGCATTTTACTTGCGTTATCTTTTACCAGAACAAAATGGAAGCGATGTAGCTGAATCCATGCGGTACCGGAATCCCCCTTCCTTCTTACATTCCAGACTCCCTGCAATAAGTGAACATCTGTGGAATACAAATACACGACTCAAATACACTCTAGCCATGTTTTTTTTTTTTTTAACAGCACTTTGATTGTAGGTTTTTAAACGCGCTTTTAAAACCATACAAACACATTTACGCATATTTTTGAGAGTGAGAGAGAGAGCAATAGAAAACACAGAAATATTGTACAAACAGTCTGAAGTGTGAGGCACGATAGGGATTACTCTACTGTGAATTAATAGACCCGAATGATAAACATAAATCTCCCAGGTGGAGACGTAATGCTGATGCTTGTCGTGTTCCCAAAATGTTTGAATTTATTCTTCGGGACGTGTGTCAAATCGACTGTCCGCGAAGCGTTTCACTTTCAAGTTCCTCGGACTTAATTGTTTAACTGATTCAGTACATTTGAGAATTGATTCAGAATCTACATCGCAATGCATCCTGGACTCTTCATTTGATTTATTTGATTAATTTTATCCCACCCTCGCAACGACAAAAAGTTGAGCTAAAAATACATTGTTGAAGTTGTTTTTTTTTTTCGCTACAGCGCCATCTGCTGGATCAGGTGGGTCACTTCCCCTGTTAACCTCAAATGCAAAATAGCCACTGCTTACAGCGCTGCAAATTAAAACATTGAACGCCGAATGTTACATCGTGTCAGGGCTAGGCGTACTATTTATTGACTGTAGTGACAGACTGGGACTTACGAAATCCATGTTTCTAGAAACCTAACTGTCGAGGGATTTGTAAAAGCCCATGTTGTCACTGCCTTTGACCACCTTGATCAATAAAACGTGATGTTTTGAACGTGCTTTGGCGTGTCTGTGTAGGAAGCTCATTTGTTGATCGCAGGCCATCTCCGCCACTTTACTTTCTGCCTTCGGTTGCTACATTTTAAGTTTTTCCCCTTTCATCCCCCGTTGAACGGCTTGCGCATCATCCCGGTTCTTTTCTACTTCGCCATCGTCCTCCTTCCCGCTCCTACGCCAGTTTTTTTGTTTTCCTCTCCATGGTCCTGAGTTTGTCGCTGGTTGTAATGGCGCAGATTACAGGAAGCCGAGAGCCACCGCACCACGGCCGAGGAAGGCACCAGGCGCTTCAAGATGGACTTTGCCAACAAGGCCGACAGCCTGCAGAAGCAGATCGACCACAGAGAGAAACAACTGTAAGCCCGGCAGACACACTTTTGTCCTTCATGCCTCCTGAAAATGGCTCGATGCGCGTGCATTCCGTTCGGCAGTCGCCGTTTGCGCCGATTCTTAATGCGATGTGCGCGTGGTGTCCGCTTCGCAGTTTGCAGCTGGAGACGGACCTGAAGATCGAACGGGAGTGGAGGCAAACGCTGCAAAACGATCTACACCGAGAGAGAGAAACGGTGGCTCAGCTCAGGACACAGGCGCTGCAGATCAACGGCCTCAAGATGGTAAACAAAAGAATGAGAGAAACACACCCGATGAGTGCATGTACTCTGCCTGTCACCCAAAGTGAGCTGAGATCAGCTCCAGCTCGCCCGCCGCGTTCATGAGGACAAGCCCCATAGAAAACGAATGGAAGGATGGATAGCATCCATCCCACTGTTTTACCTAATGAAGCGAGCGACATTGAATGCACTGTAAACCACGCGTTGTCTTTTTTTATCCACAGGAGTTCCATCGCCTGCAGGATGAGAACTTCCAGCTGAAGAGTATATGTGAAGACCAAGAACAAGCTCTCGAGGAGCTTGGCTCCAAACTAAGCGAGTGCGTCTGCTGTTTAACTTGACCTCGACTCAACCTGGTATCCATGTTCCAATTGGAGGGGGAACAAAAGCATGAACATGAATGCAGCTCATACAGCACTGTTGATGTAAATGTTCGTGTGGCCCGCCCACCTCTGCTCAAATAATGACATGACATTTTCTCAAACTACACACGCACGGGCCGACCAGCCAAAACAGCAGCACCCAAACATTTCTCCATAAGCATCATTTTGATATTGTTTTAATCAAGAGTCTCTTGACTTGTAATGTAATACAAGTTTCTTTCCAAATATGCATTTGCGGTTAATTCCCGCTGTTCAAGGGGCACCGAGCCCAGCCATGAAGATCAGAAATCCACCAATAATTGGTGCCCCGAACCGGGAAGGGAATTAAAATTGCTTAACGGTGCCGAGAGATGGTAACAAAGCACTTAAAACAGAGATGACCATAAAGCATCAACTCCATACATCTAGCACGCACCCAGTCATGAAGCCATGTCACACAAACAACTATTCAGGAGTTAAACTATTCAACACAAACAAATAGGGCTGTCACCAACGAATATTTTTAGAATCGATTATCCTCTGGAATATTCCGTCTGTCTGTCTCTGATACAATCTCCTCAACACTTTGTCATACAGATCCAAAATGAAGATTGAGGACATCAAAGAAGCCAACAAAGCTCTTCAGGTAAAATAAACGGCGACGTGTAGGCTTCGTTGACGTGGAGTTAGTTGTAAGCTTTCGTGTGGCCGTCCGTTGCAGGGCGGGCAGGTGTGGTTGAAAGACAAGGACGCGAGCCACTGCAAGCTGTGTGAGAAAGAGTTCTCCATCTCAAGACGCAAGGTGAGCCTACAGTGATCACTGATGAAGCTTTACACACTATGGGTGCCTACATCATCGTTGTTGTCGTTGTTGTGTGTTCAGCATCACTGTAGGAACTGCGGAGAGATCTTCTGCAACGGTTGCTCGGACAACGAACTTCCACTGCCCGCATCTCCCAAACCAGTGCGAGTGTGCGACACCTGCCACGCTCTCCTCCTTCAGAGATGCTCGTCTAATCCCACTTGAAAGCGTTTCACTCTACCTCCTCTGGCATGATGACCGCTCGTCAGCCCTCTGCAAGGTCCATCTCTTTAAAGCTTTTGCATGCACATTTGTCGCATATCTCACTGGGATTGTATTGGATTGGTTTGGAAGTTGAGATGCTGAAGTGGCGCACTGCGTTTCCTCAAATAGTGGCCTCTGCTTGAATTGGACGGCGTGCCTCGTTACATACGGAAAATGATATGACCACAAAGCACAACTGGAGCAGTACAGACGTGGTATCTGTAAAGCTGAAAACTTTTTTCGGAGGCTCCCTGTATAAGGAAATACAGGATGCTGGATGTACTTCATATCATTTTGTTATTCTATTGTAATTTAATTAGTTAAAAAACTAAATTAAATTGCATCAAATCAAACATTTGCATTTTACGATGACCTGGATGATTGAGCAACTGTACAAAGAAAAAAAAGTTTTTTTTTTTTTTTTAAGTCCATTGTTTTTTTTTTTTTTTTTTTTTTTACAATTGTGAAAGTAAGTTTAAAATAACTTGCACCATGCAATGCCAACTTTTCCCGCTAGATGGGGTAGGTACACATTGAGCTTTCATTCCACGTGCATATTCCAACTTCATGATGTGATACATTGTGTTCGCCTATGGCAGTCCACTTGGTTTGTCTGCTCGACAGGGTCATATTCAGATGTTTACATCTCCTCAACTGGATGTCGCTGCTCTTTTGTTAAAATATTAGAAACTCGATCAGTGCCCCATCGCATGCGTTCTCGAAAGACACTTAAGGCACTGAAAGAAGATGGGACTTGCCCAGCTGTAAAAGATGGGGCTTCACACTAAAAGAAAGCACTTAAGACAAAATTACTGACTGCATGTTGTTTGTACCAAAATCTGATCAGATAAGTGCCACCACTAATTGAAGATGCTCACGAAAAAAAATAAAGTACAGAAAGTTTACTGTCGCCATCTCCCCAAGGCTGTTGCTCATGTTCTGTGTTGGTGCCACTTGAGCTTGTGCAAATACTGTTAGTGCCAAAATGACCCAGGTACAGTATTAAAAGTTTAAGGTTCATTGTAGAAAACAGCAATTTGAAAGTTAAATGGGAAGAGGCTTGATTTAAGTTGCTGGAGGTTCCAGGCACAATTGCCATCGATGCTGCTTCAGGTTTTTTTTTCTTTTATCGTGAGGATTAGCAATTCAGAAAATGGATGAACATAGAATTTTATGTTGACAAGAAGAGCATTTACCTCTCAGAACAGTCTGTAATCAAATGTAAAGTCGACATGCTCATCTGCACCTTCAGTTTTGTACTTGGCAATCCTGACAACCCGGAAGTCATTTTGTTTTCTAATTTATTGCGTGTTCAAAGATAACACTTTTTGTAATCTAATTATGATTAGCACCTGGGCCTCATTTTAGTTTTGCGCTATGTATAGGGGTGTCAGTCCTAAAGAGGTTATGTTTTTTTTTTTTTTTTTTTTTTTTTTAATTGTTTATATTGTTAAAGTGAACTTTATCACTACATTGTTAATGATTGTCAAAATTATGCTGCCTTGACTGTAGCAGTTTTGATTAAATGAAACTGTAAACCTCATGCTGCAAGATTCTTTTGCCATGTATTTTCTGCATATGCAACATACACCAAACAAATGCTAGGGTATTTAATTTTAAAAAATTTATTGGGCAAAATGTACAACAGCTGTAAATGGTAGACTTGAGCTTTAATCAACTTCCATTCTGAAGATATTGAACTAAAATCTTTGTCATGAACTGAGAAAAGATTCAATCAACACAGGGTCACATTTGTTTAACTTTTAAAGAGAAACTTAGTTGGGAATACCACATCCAATCCATGTGGTACTAGGCCCAAAAAAATTGACAGTTTAGAAGTTGCCAAAATTAAGCTTTTTAACTGTACTAGCACAACTGTACTGTACTTGTATGAATTTTGCCAAATATTTCCAACAGGTGTCAGTAACTGTTCTTTCCTCCATGACAAGTTTCCCATCAACATGTTCAGCTTTGACCCGTTCAGTCTCGTCATCAAAATTGAATAACTCAATGTAATTCACTGTACTGTATGCATTTTTTTAAATAAGCAAGAAAGGAAAAAGAGGTGGAACACCCAAAGATCAACTTGGTGACAAAATGTGGCCCTTGAGGAACATGAGAGAGAGAGGAGCTCAGGTAATGACATCAGTATGAGCCTCGCAGCCCGCTGCTCCGTGAGCCGCCTCCTGAGTTACCATAGTAACCACCACGACCTAAGAAACAAAGAAAATTGTTATTTTATTTTCAACGACAAGTGAACAGAAAGATTTGACCAGCACGCACTTGTTTCGGATCCGATGGCTGTGGAGTTGAGAAAGAGCTCAATGTAGCGGTGCTCTGTGGACAACACGGACAATTGTAGATCACTGAAGTGGACGACTTCTTTTTGTTCTTAAAAATGACTTGTCAAATCATTAATACATTTTTTTTCTCACAAATATGGGCAATTTAATTTCTATGGCAAAAAAATTGGGAGGACAGGCCGTACGCATGTGGTGCTTGTCCTTGCCCATGGCGGCCACGGCGTCCTCGTGGGAGCGGAACTCCACGTCAGCCTCTCCTGTCAGCTTGCCGTTGAGAGCGACGTCGATGTGGACACTCAGAGGGTTCAAAGGTGAGAAGAACTGGAAAAGAATCAAAATGTGTCAAGACACGACACAATGCCAGTGAAGCTTTTGGATGCCGTCTTCGTACCTTTGCGACGTCCATCTCGCTGGTGCGAAAAGGCAGACCCCTCATGTGGACAAAATGGCCACCGTGGTAACTTGAGCCTCCTTCAGATTGACGACTGTAACTGTTGCCTAGCAACAAAAAGTGTCTCATTTACAATCCAATGCCGCACATTATAAGTAATTGAGCCCTTCATAAGTTTGTGCTACTGGTTTTTAAATTTTAGTACTTTATTATAGTTTATCCGCCAGATGGTCCAACCATCCCACCCCAATTTCAAAGCATACAGCAAAATTTTACAACTTCAAATTTTTTTTTCCCAACATGCCTGCCTTGCTACTGAAATAAATGTGGATTCATCTGCAGCTTCCTCGATATGTACTGTTCACTCCCTGAAATAATTTGATCGAGTTAAAAACACTAATATGTGATGTTTATTTCAGACTAAAGTAGTCTAAAAGTACTTCTGTACTTCAAATATGTACAACTCAATCAAATATAAATCATATTTTAACTGTTGGGCAGGAACAATTTTTCGTGATTGTATGAGGCACATTTTTCAGATGTTTTTTGGTTTGGATTTTCTGTATTTTATTCATTTATTTCGTCAACTTTTTACTTGCAAATTGAAAACAAAGCTGTACTTTCTATTCCTTCGTTTGACACACAAAAAAAAAAAAACAACCAAAAAAAAACTCAGGACTTTTTTTTTTTCCACCTACTCCGCACAAAAAGCAATCGCAGTCACGTCAACCATGATTGAGAGTTTGGGAACAACACTTCTTCAAAGAAGTCAGAAGACATTACCTCTTGCTCCTCGCTCTTCTCTTACACGCTCATCAAACATGCAGTTCCCAAAGCCGTAGTTGTTTAATCCGTTGTAGCTGTCAAAACTATGTCCATAACCTGGACACAAACAGTAAGAACAATTAGAAAATAAAAATAAATGTCTTTTGCCTCAGTCACATGAAGAACTGTTTCTACATACTTAGATTCCATTCGTATTTCTGTGAAATGCATTTTGATTAAATCATGAAGTCATAGTAATACTGCTTTTAGTTATTGCCATATTGAAGTGCAGCGTGGATGTTCAAAATGTGCACGTCTTTGAACATTAATAATGCAAGACCGTGTTGTGTTAAAGGAACACTTCCGAGTCGAACCCATCGTTCCAAGCGATATCTTCAGCAAATCATGCGTGACTTCAGCTCAGTGAGCATCTCAAACCTACTTACCTCCCCCGTAGCCCCCTCCGCCCCTCATGGAGTCCATGAGAGAGCTGCTGCGACTGGGACCAGAGCCAAAGTATCCTCCCCTGGGGCCCTCCATCACGGGTCTGTCGTAGGGCCCCGGTCTCTGGCCCCCGATCACCCGCCGGGGTTCGTCCAGGTAGTCTCGGATCTCGACGCGACTGCTCTTAAAGATCTCAATGTACCTGCGAGGAGAGAGTCCGGGCACGGCAATTGAGGTGGGGGTGGAAATGGCTGAGGTGGGCCAGCACACACATACACAGAAAGATACACACAGAAAAGACAGATATGCCTAACAGTTGTCTAGCTGGCAACAACCTGGACAAAATGTCTTGCTCTACCTCAGACTCGGCAAACTGCCTCTAACAAGCCCAATGCCCCCATTACACTAGGACTACTACATGTAGGACATTTTACAGTAAATAAGAGCCGAGCACACATTACTTCTACACATTGCATTGTATGAAAGCCCCAATTAAAAGTGTCATTATTCTAGCAGACCCCCCCCCCTTATTGGCAACAGAATGTGACAGAAGATATCCCCCCCAAGTAGAGTATGGACTAGAGTATGAAGAAGCCCAACCCAGTCCAGCCCGTCCCCCTTGCCGTCCGTCCCACCTGTGCCCTATCCTTTCCTTGTGTTTCCCCCGAGCCTTTTCTGCTATCTCCTTTGAGGCAAACTGCACGAAGGCTTCCCCTGTGCTCCTCCCCTGGTAGTCCACTGGCAGAGTAATCCCATTCGGCACGATTCTCAACCCTTCAACCCAAGCACACAAATACATAAGTCGGTAGGTAGGCAGGTAGGTAGGTAGACAAACACCCACTGGAGCTTTCAGTTGGAGGACAAGTCATGAGGGCCACAAGCTGGACAGCTTTAACAGGGCTACATTCAAGCTAAGCATCTGACATGATTGTGTGTGATGGAATAGGCCCAGAGGAGGGCAGAATGACAAGAACTGGCCTGGAGTCAGCAAACGCCAAACGGGAGGTCACTTATTACATTGTGGGACCGACCGATACTCTCAAGCCACGACATTAGGTAGACCTGCCCGATTTCAGGAGCTCCACAAAAGAGCAGATGTGTGCTAGACCCGCACTACAGCGAAAGAAACAAAACTCAGAGTGAACCCTTTTCCTAACCTACTTCTTATTCCCAATTTGACATTTTTGTGTGTTTTGGCTGGAACCTGTCCTAAGCTATCGAGGCATCGCTTCTGTTTGGTTTTGTTCGGGAAGCGGTTGTTGTTGATGACGTTAGAAGTACACTTTAGTACATCAGGGAGGAGCTAAGTTCAGCCTGAGTGGATGTTACAAGTGAGAAAACAAGTCGTCGGTTTTAACACTTTGAATGACGGGAGCCATTAAAATAGGTCGCAAAAAAATATATCTATAGACATAATCACTTGATCTCCTGGTGCTACACTTTTACATTTTAACATGAGTCTGCATATAACGTAGATGCCGCACAGAACAATTGCAAGTACTAAAGACCCCATACTGAACGTTACAATGCATGACTTATGAAAGGGCAGCGCGAGCAGACCCCAGGTCAGTGTCATGCATCATTCATTTCCCCTAACCCAAACAAGAACGGCCTATTCCATTGCTTTACCTCCTTAAAGAGATCATACATAATATCATCTAATCATTTGTCAACATAGTAACATATTATAACAAGGTCAACATACTACAAGAACAAACAGACATATGGAGACATGCAATCCTGCCTATAAAAAGCTTGAACGTCTACTACCTGAAACATTCTTTGTCATCTTGAGAGATATTACAGACAAGTGTACAGAAAATACAATCACGGTTGAAAATCTATTTGGCTTACTACAAAATGATGGGGTAAAACATTTGTAGTGATTTTTCGCAAGAATTTGAATGGTTGGGTTTTAACTTCCTTGGATGCCAAAAATAACATTTAAAAAAATCACGTGTGAAGATTAGTAAGCTAATGTGAGTGCCTGATGTTGACGTACCTGAAAAGAACTGAACAATTTCCTCCTTGCTGCATCCGAAGGGGAGGCCTCGGAGTCTCAGCATGCAGCCGCTGGAGCTGTCGTAGTCAGCAGGGCCGCTACGCTTCAGCACCCAGTCCATCTCGCTACGGTTTGACTTGAACACTGATATATATACGCATCATCAACACATAGTTCAATAGAAAGTCAACGGTTTATTTAAATAAAGACAAAAAAAAGTGAAACAACTGAATTCAAACACCCTTGAAGTAACGTCCAACTAGATTACTTACCTTCAATGTATCGGTGTCCCATGTATTTACGATCTTTGGAAAGCGCATTCTTGAAATCCTCCGATGTTTTCAGCTCAATAAACGCTTCGCCGCTGGGGCGACCTTCTTTCGAGTAGGTGAAACATACTCCGTTGACTTTGCCTATGATGTCACAGTCTGCATACAAGACATTTATTGTGATTATCTTTGGAAAAAAAGACAGACCCAGATGTGTTCTGTGCTTGACAAAAACACATAAGCTATGTCGCTGCAAAAAAGGGCTAAATGATTTAGAAAAATAATCTAATTGTGATCACCACCCCCGCCAATATTACAAATCGGAAGTGCCCCCCCCCCATTAACACACACAAGCAATATGCTAATTTGTGAACATACACTTGATGTGTGAGGAGTGCAACTCCAGATCCGTTTCATACGCAAAGTAGCTTCAGATAACTTCTGTTATGAATCGGGGCTCAATAAATCCAATGTGAATTGAATTGCAATTTGATGTATATTCAAGTTTCTGGTTGTGAACAGGTATGTACGCTCTGTATCACCTGAGAAGAAACTGGCCACTTCCCCCTGGGTGCAGGCCCAAGGAAGGCCTCTGATCCTGACCACGTAACCTTCTTCGTTGGAAGACATCCTCACTGGCAAAACAGGATACACAAGAGAAACAAGTTGCTTGAATCTATTCCCAAACCAAGAAAAATATCATTCACAATAAACACTGATTAAGTCGTCTTGACCACACAGGGCACATTCAAGTTACTTGAAAAGCACTTTTACACACGAACTGGTTGTGTAGCATCAATTTGCACAGAAGCTAAGAACTGCTGCTAGTTTTAATTCCTCTTGGTAACAAGGTTGCTGGTTGTCAACAAAACCAAAAAGTTCCTATGGTAACCCTAACAACAAGCCAAGCAACTGCCTAAACTTTACAGCACATTTCATTTCTTTGTATGGCTGACGTTGAAGAGAAAGCCTCTCTAATCGCCCCAAGCGAAACGTCACTTTAACGGTTGATTGCTCTATGATAACCAGATGATGATATTTGGAGTCAGCTCGCTCGGCTAGCCCTTATCTGACGTGCTAACGCGTTAGCTGGAGAACGATAGCAGTTCGCCTCGCTTGACAGCGGTCAAATGTCCAACACGAGCTCGCCCAATTTAGTCCCGCTAAAGAGTCGTCGATATGTGGTACAATTTGTCGCTGACCATACATGCAAACCAAGCACCCGTTTATAAGTTTGAAAAGGGCGAAATTGTCTCACGATGGCGTATTGTGCAGTCGATGTCTTCCGCCTTGTACCAGCAAGCCTCAGGTGACACTTCCTGTTGTCACTCTGACGCTATGTTCTCGCGAGACTGGGATTTGACTACACGACTACTTCACCACCCCGCTGTGTGTCCTCGCGTTACTTCGGGACGACTACTCGTGGACAGTACGACTAAATACATTCCCGAAATCAAGATTACACTGTATTTTTGCCCTTTTTCTTATATATTGTGAAAACGTGTACCTCTATACATTTAGCAACCATCTAACATTGAACAATTTCAAACTTAAAAAAGCATGGAAGAATACATCTTAATAAAATTAAAATTGAATCAACACGAGATCAAAAACTAAAGATGGATACTTTTAGCCTAGTGGCCCCAATTTGTGTTTTACACTTTCCATTGAGGTTCAACGTAGTTTCGATTTTATTTTTGTTTATTTTTATCTTATTTGCTTGCATTTGTAAAATGTTTCTGTATTTTTATGTGTGATCGTATTATACTGTATAATTGAAATGAAAAAAAAAAAATCCAACAAAAGAGATGACCGCCAGAGGTCACTTCTCCAGGAGACAGAATTATCATTACAGTATCTCAGTGTACATACCACTTTTTTTAAACGAAAATTTTTGTTTGTTGGTATGCCCAAATATTTTTCTAATGTAAAATATGTGCCTAAATTAGCTCAACAAATTTTTAAAAACACGGTCATACAGGACCATAAGAAAATCATTAAAAAGCGAGGATGCACTTTGTGCGGGTGGCAAGCCTGACGAGTGAGACCAAACTGCCTGGGTCAAAGTCCCAAAACTGCTCTGTATTTTGCACATTCACAATGGAGATTCCTATTTTTATCGTGGATGCCTTTACTAATTTACCATTTAAGGGGAACCCAGCAGCTGTTTGTCTTTTAAAACATGTGAGTAGCAATACTAAGTTAAAACAAAATGTTATTTTCATTTTGGATGACAAAAAACGCTTACAGTAGCTTATTCAATGGTTACTAGAAAATGTGTTTCCTGGAGAATGATATTTTATAACAAGACAGTTTCATGCGTAGAATATTCATCAAATGGGCTGCATTCATCATATATTTTGGTTATGTGCCACAATTGTTTCTTCAGGAGCTGCGCGATGAATTGTATCAGAAGATAGCAGCGGAGATGAACTTATCGGAAACTGTCTTCATCACCACGGTCAAGCCTTCTGAGGATTTCACAAAGGGTCAAATGCAATAATTGTTTGATTGCACTCTAAAAACAACAAAAAATAATGAAAAGTGTGAATTTTGGCATTATGCATTCAGTATAAAAACTTTGTCATCTGTGCATGAAATATCCACAAAGACCACACAATTTAATTTGTTCTACAACATTTGTAAACTTTATGGATTAGGATTAGGTCTGCTGATAAAAAATCATCATTCATTAAAACAGACTGCCCCCCCCCCAAAAAAAGTGTCATTCTTATTCTTGCAAGTATTATTTTTACTGAATTCAACGATTTCATTTTTTTTTTTTTTTTTGGACAGATTCAAGGTTCCGTCTCCGTTGGTTCACACCTACCACAGAGGTCAACCTTTGCGGTCATGCCACTCTGGCCTCTGCTGCCGTGCTCTTCAAACACAAGCGTAAGATACTTCACCAACTTAAGCGCAATATCCCTTTGCATCAAGCGCACACCAATAGTGACACACTCGAGCAGAACACACACCTTAATTATTTATAAAGAGCTGGTCTTTGGCGTTAATAAAAAAAAAACCATCCAATAACACCAATATTACGTTCTTTTCGAAAGAATGTGCTTTTATTGTTGTTGGTTTTTTTTGGACCTTTCAGAAAATGTGAATTCTGCTGTGGCATTTGAAACCAGGAGTGGAGATCTGTCTGTTGTACAGGAGGGTGAGGATTTAGTGATGGATTTTCCCCTCAACCCACCCACCAAGAAGGTACACTATTAGAAAAGATAATTGTAATTTCAAAGAATGGATGTTGAATGAAAAAAATAGTACAAGTCTAACATATTCTGTAAAATATGTCAGGAAAGGTTGCGGGAAATCATTTGTCTCAATGTGTGCACAATTTTTCAAATACAATGAAAAGATCAAATGCTAATACAAACACGAATATATTTTTATTTTTTAACCAAGGCTCCTGAGCATTTTAGAGACCTTATCAAGGTGAGTAAAAGAAACCCGGCTCAAAGTGTAGGGTTGTTTTTTTTTCCCCCCCAACCCCTCAATTGTTCACATGTGATGTGTCCTCCAGGCCTCAGTAGGAGATCACCCAGTCCAGGATGTTTATCTGAGTTCCAACACTAAGAAACTACTGCTGCGACTGGCGGACACCTGTGACAGGTTCCAATTCTCTCTCTCTTTCACACACACACACACACACACACACACACACACACACACACACACACACACACACACACACACACACACACACACACACACAGTCATTGCAAACCAAACTAAAATTGGAGTCAATATTAAGGAACATCCATATAAAACAGTTGAATGTCTTGATGAAGTAGCCAAACATCTCTTCCTACTGATATTACTGAATATCAATGTTTATATGGTGCGGTGCATCTCAAAGTGCCTCCAACCAAGTACAGTCGACACTTCCAGGTCAGTCCTTAGCAGTCTCAAAGTCAACCCTGAAGCCCTACGAAGCAGCGACCAGAGCGGACAAGTCAAAGGCCTGATAATCACCATGAAAGGTATTTTTAATATCCCTAAACCTGACCTGACCACTTACGGCCTATAAATCAGATCATGGGTCACTGTAATTTCATTTTGATATGATGACTGGTGTGTGGAATAGTGCAGTCTTTGTCAAGTGTCATTTATAAATAGACTCCCAGCCACGTTAGGTACTATGACACAACCAAAGGAGATCCAATTGATCAGAAATGTTCTCTTTATAAAGATAATGCCCACCTTGTCACAGATTTAGCGCAGTATTAGATTGTACAGGTGTACCATGAAATAATCTGTGAGCGAATGTAAAACTTTTGATAACTACCCATTTTTTGCATAAAACAAACTTATTCAAGTCAAAAGAAGCTTTCTACCAGCGTTTTGTTTCTTTTTTTTTAAAATAGTAATTGGTGTCTTTTGAGGAACGCACACTCTTTAACAGCATCAAGCGTTGTCGTCCTCTCCATTGTAATCGCATGTATGCTTGATTTAAGGATCTCCAGATTGCCAGCCAGGATATGACTTCTATTCTAGATATTTTGCCCCCTGGAACGGAATTCCGGAGGATCCTGTCACAGGTTAGGATTCTCACTACTATTCTACAACATGGAGTCATCATGACAGCCGCCAAAATGTACTCATCTACGAAAATTATGGCTTTATACGTTTGGTGTCCTTTAAAACGACACCTATTTTGTTTGCACTTGCAGGTTCTGCACACACAGTCCTGGCTAGCTACTGGTCTAAAGAACTGGGAAAGAAGAAAATGCTTGGTCATTAATTTCACTAAAGTCCTTTCACATCTTCAGTCATCAAACTCTTGCATAGCACAGTCACAATCATCTCAGCGTGTTGATTTTACTTCTTTCTCCATCCCGATGTGTGTGTGTAGCATTCCAGTGTTCCGAGCGAGGTGGAGAGCTGCAGCTCGAGGTGAGAGAAGATGGAAGGCTCAATATAACAGGGAAGAGCGTCACCGTGCTGCAGGGAACAATCACACTGTAGACACCTGCAGAGAAGAGCGCTTTAACTCCTAAGGCACTATTATTATATTGTGCTGTACAAAACAATGTTTATACACAACTTCACAGTCTGAGAGCTGGTCATATGTACATTGCAAATTTTATTATTCCAATAGGATACTCACACACACAAAAAAGGGAAAATAGCACACATAAAATCATAGACGATCCAATAGCGCCAAGGTAAAAATGACAAGTTTATTCATTAATTCATGCATTTGGAGAATTACATTGTAAAGCAGATTAGTTCATCATCACATGTGATGTTTGACTGGTTCAACTATCAAGTTTAAGTGAAAGCATGTCAGTTCTCGTTGTCCTTCCTCTTGTGTAGCATCTGCAGCAGTATCCTCAAATAGCCGATCTCGTGACTTCTGCGACTCAAATATTTTATTTGATCACAATAAGAAGGAGGCTGTTCATTTGCACCATTTTAAATAACTTAAAGGATTCAGCATACTGTACATCACAACAATTTTGACATTTTCACAGGTTTACAAAGTAGTATGTCGCATTCAAATGTATTCAAGTATGAAATAACGGCAGGTAAACAGAGGTAATTTATGTCAGCTTAGTTAAAGATTTGAAAAAAAATCCTTAAATTACTCATATAAATTATTTGACTAAAAAACCCACAATGGTTCATCACCTGGAGCATAAATATAAAGCAGTGTTTGATCATTCGAGCAAATGAATATGGATTTCTGGTCTTGTAAAGACATGTGAGTTGCTAGACTGTGACCGACGAGGTTTTGTTCAGTCGCTGCTGACGTCGATGTGATCACAGGAGCATCAGGGGTAAGGCTTTGTGCGCTGACGGAGGGAGCTGGATTATGTGAGGTTAGTTAAGGAGGCTAAGGACAGCGGGTAGAGAACAGAATAGACAAGTTGCGAATGTTTCCGTTCAACTTTTTAGAGAAGGACTAGTCCTGCATTTTATGCATGCTGTGCATCAGCAAAGTTGTTTCCAAGTTTGAAATTAACAGTGGCCTAGTATCAGACGCTCCCCCACCCATCCCTGATCGTGAAACATAATTGACAAGCAGACTTGTCACTGGGAGTGATAATCATCTACAGTGTGAATTCCCTACTAACAATCTGATGAATTATTTGATCATGGACATCATCAAATCATTACCAATAAATTGTAAATGTGTATTTATGGCTCTTTCTCATTCACAAATTTTAATTAATATGGGACCGTCATGAGGATAAATGGCCTGGATAATGAAAGAATGGATGGATGGGAACATTTTGATCTCAAGGACTTAAATGAGGGAACTGCAGTCACCAAAGTAACAAAAAAGTGAGCACCAATATTGCAGTAATAAAAAAATACATAAATAACATTTAACAAAAATCCTATACTTATCGGTATTGTTTTGGCCCATACAAAATACAATATATGTGCCTCATAAATGTTCATGCTTTTGTGACGGCAGTAGCTTACCCATAAGTCAAATTCCAGAGGGCCCATGATGAGATCTTCAGTACTGTTACAAAGACCATTATGAACATGCTCAAGAATAAAATAATGACGAGTGTCTGGGCGCAAGCTAACTCAGGCGTGCAAACAACCAACCGAAAAGCAAACGAGATGTTCTCAGAGAGAAGACAAAGGATATCATGTTCTCCTGCTCCAGATGACTGAGTAGTTTCTCCACGGGGCTGTATCGTCTGAGCGTGGACGCGGAACCCACCATGAGCAGTTTGTGTTTGGCTCTGGTGATGGCAACGTTCAGGCGGCGCCAGTCCTTCAGCAGCTCTCCTAGCTGGGAAGCAAGAAACAGGTCAGCTAGCAGGTCGCCTCCGTGCACGAGGGGCGTTAACGATGAACGCGTACATTTTCTTCTTCTGTTGTACTCCTGACGAAAGAGAGCACGATGACACTCTTGTCCCGTCCTTGGTATTTGTCCACCGTGTTCACCTCCACGCCGCTAAACGCAGACGAATGCAGCAGAGCCGAAACACTCTTCAGTTGTTGTCTGTATGGGGCGATGACGCCGATATCACTGGCCTTACAGCCGGCCTAAGAGGGAGAAAAGCAACCCAAGTTTGGTTGAGCGACGCATTCAGTGAGCCTTAGTGTCACGTGACATGCAGGCATACCTTTATCAACAGTGACAGAAGGAGGTGGATGATGGCCGCCTCGGTGTGATTGCTTATGCCTCCTTGTCCCATTGACTCCAAAGCTGGCACCTTCCAGGAGAGAGGCCATCTTTGAACATACTTGATGATCACTTGGTAGTTTCTGGTATGTGCGGGCACACCGGGTGACATTTCAACTGGAAGCGAGGCCTATTTCCTACATACCACTGAGCAATCCAGGAAGCAAACGGGTTTGCTAGGTAACAAAGCGGCCTGTATCCACGCCAGATCCTGCTGGGGATGCGCGTCAGGGAGGAAAATGAGCTCTGACTGGACGGACGCCAGAGAGGGGAGGGAGAGGAGAGCAGACGCAGTCCTCTCCGAGCCGCACTCCAAGCGGCCGTCGTACATCAGACAATTGCTCAGGGACATGATCTGCCTGGAAAGAAACGCAGTCAGGCGGACTGGTAGTTTGAAGAACAACTTTGGTCAATGTCATATTTCATTTTCTGTGAAGACAACACATCAAAGCGATGCCGACTTGGACTGAGTCCTCCAGGCAAGAGGTAAGATGTACCTGTTCATGCGGTACTGGACGTTGAGGTGGACCACAGCTTCACCGTGGCACTCGAGTCGCTTGAAAAGACTCTCATCCATCCCGAGTGACCTGTTGAAAAATGAAAATATATTAACAACCGGTATCGCTGAACAATAAATCGTGAAGGTTGTGAGACAAAGTGCACAATAAAAGTGGCGGTTGTTCGAAAAACGGTACCTCGCTTCCTGATGATGCACTATCGGGGGCAGCTGTTGGTGGTCGCCAACCAGGACAAACCTGTTGGCGTAGAACAGCGGGCCCAGGCAGATGGGCTGGCTGATCTGCGACGCTTCATCCACGATGCAGAAATCGAAGCGCCTTCTTGTGAAAATGGGATGCTTGATGCCCATGCAAGTTGTTCCTACGACCAGCTAAAAAGACAAAACAAAAATTACATCTTCAAAAGAGCTTAGAACAGATTCCCCGGTGTGAACCAAAAAGCTCACCGATACTGGAACGAAAAAGAAAAAATCAAAGCGTTCAACCTCTTTGTTATAAAGCTGTTCCAGTTGTGACAGTGTGTGAACTCCATTTCTCCTGATGCTTTCCTCCGTGTATGGAAGGATACTTGAATGGACCTGTGGAGAGGAAAATTCTTATCTTTCTGACTAACATTTCAGTTAATGACTTTTTGTACAGCTACAGTGTCGCCCACCTTCTGCCCTTGGCCGAGACGCAGGAAGCCAACTTTGAAGCGCTTCAGCTTCAACAGGATGTTGTCGACAGCAGAGTGTGTGTAGCTGGTCAGCAAGACGCTGAAGCCACACGCGTGTAAGATGCGAACCTGCAAACAAGAGAAGTCAAGCGATTTTGACACTGGCGAGGTATTCGTCACTATTCTAAAGTGGGTTTGTAAGGATACCAGTGTGCAGATGGTGGTGGTTTTGCCCGTGCCGGGCATGCCAACAATCAGTGTGTAATCTTTCGACAACAACACCTTCTTCATGGCCTGCTTCTGGGGCTTGTTGAGACCTGCAACATTCATGCATGGTTAAAATCACAGACAGTACACTTGCTGTCCACTAGTGGGGGCATTATCACATTATTACACACTAGAAATGTGACGGAATAAAACTAAATTAAAAAAAGACTTGGAAGACAGGAAGCCAGAGGTGAAACGCGCAACATGTCAAGCTTTTAAGTTGCTGCAAAAAAAAAAAAAAAGGTTTTCATCCAGGTGAATTTTTCAGAATGTGGATAGATTGACACTCAAAATTGGCAGGCAAAATGCTCATCGGGGGATCGAACTGTGGATGCTGAAGATGACACTGGGCCTTAAGATGGAATGACTTAAAAAAAATATATTTTTTTTAAAAAATTAAGAATTTGGATGTGGTCTTCCTTTTCTTCTTTGTTGCATTGCAAAGGTATTGGATCAGGACTCGATATTGGCAGATATTTAAAATTAAGGGACTTGGACTTGATGTTTCTTGGGGATCGCCGGTGATCGGTAGAGAACACTAAGAATGTCAGCGGTGATTTATTGAATGTATTTTATCTCTCCTTGCAAAACAAACATTTTATTTTGACCTCAACTCATGCTAACGTCTACTGACCAATGTTCAATCAGTACTAAACCATAAATACTGAAAGGCAGCACTAAAATCTTAAGTCTATAATGTTATGAAAGGAGTAAAGCTATGAGGAGGGGGGGGGGGGGAACAACCTTTGAGGATGTTTGCCACTGTCTCTTTGGCCTCTCTGGGTAGAACGTCACTGAGATTGGAAATAAACTCCGGCGAACGATGATCGACAACCAACTTCCTCAGACGATCACTGCGCAAATTGAACACAATGCGACAGAGTTTCAGGAAACAAGTCGGAAGGACAGAATGTATGGATGGCAAAAGACGAAAATCTACCCGTCTTGACTGTTTTCCATCAGCTTGGAGAGGTTGGTGAGATGAGTGCTGAGGCCATTCACTCCTTCATCGACATCCAATCGAAACACTTCCCCACTGAGCTTTGACACGTCCCTGCGACAGACAATAGACTCTGATTTGGCTGGGGACCATGCAAGAACGACATGTCGTGAAAGATATACAGGTCAAGTAAGCATGTGGATGCATTTTTAGATCGGACCTCACCTGTCTAATGTACAGCTAATGGATGTCCTGCTTATATCACAGATATAGCCTGTTGCCAGGGCGATGAAGCGACCTCCCTGGTCGCTAAGCACAACGCGCTCCCCGCTGGCCAGGCCGCAACCGCTTAAATCGTGCGTCTCGTTCGCTCGCTGGAAACGATGAAGGAAAACGCCCTCTGGGTGGACGCTCGTAGAGGCGAGCAGCTGCAGGTTCCCGATGCAACTTCCTTTCTTCTCGCTAGGAGGCAAGTTATCAGGAGGTCACCCAAAACGCCAGTCATCAACAAATAATGGCCATTCAGCAGATGGTGCAGGATTTCTTTCTTTGGAAGAACTTTTTTTAGACAGAGAAGCGGTTGAATTTTGAAATGACTGTTGCTGATAATGTGCAGAGAAATGACATTTATGCATTAAAATGATGGCCGTATTTAGTATTGTCTATTCATTTAATTTCCCCACACAGGATGACTCATCCATCTAATCCATCCATCAGTACAACTACTAATAAGACCTTGGGAGACTCCTGCTTGCTATCTATTGATGCTTGGTAATGTGTTAATTCATTTAAACTTGCTAATTAAAACACCGTTGTTGGAAACTGGACTGAACAGGAGCCTTTGTTACCTTTCCTCGGGTGTCTGTAGCCATACACGCTTTCGGCCATTCCTGGCCTCCATGCTGGCGGCCTCGAGACTGCAGAGCAGCAACCAGTGGGCGAAATAGTCCAAGTGTGTAGCGGCCAGGTGACCCGTCTCCAGTTGTATCAAGTCATCACTGATATCTGTGGACGGGCCTTCCAACACCCTGGCGAAGGAAAACAACGAGGTCATCCAAGATAAATGGAGAGGAACATATCAGGATTTGAAAGTATGTACAGCCGTACCTTTCATACAGAGCACAGTTTCTTCTTTGAGGGCAATAATGGCAGGTGTTTTTGTCCGTCACCATGTCAGGAAGTCTGGCCAGGCGACTTCCCCCCACACCCTTCCGCACACGGTTGTGGACGTAATAAACCATGGTGTTCCTCAGTTTCAGCAATTCTATAAAGAACAAAAACATGGAAAGAATGGTGAAGAAAAAAATAATTGATTTTCAGACTTTTTTTTTTTTTTTTAACTTGAATGCATTCGTCCCATTTGTTAGTCATGGTCAAGTGTTCAGACTGCTTGCTGCCTGCCCTGTGGGGATCTCGGTTCAAGTCATTTACAGGCAGAGGAACGTGAGCATAAAATGTCACTTTACTTAAGTGTGGACAAAGAAAGAGAGGATGTGGAAGCAGACCATCCGCCCCCGACATCCCTTGGCGCCACAGCTATGCTGTAATTGAGCAAAAACCTACCGTGAACCTGCCACACTCTGCGTGCGGTTGCTGTGCGCCAGGCTGTGACGCGCTAAGGACAATTTTCATGTACTGTTTATGCATGCAAACATGACCATAGAGATGATTATCTCTCGCCGTCACCTTCTTTCCATTTACTCACAAGTCATACGTATAATCTCCCTGCAAAAACCACCTGGTGCTCGGATCTTAATTCTGAAAAATGAGATGTACTGAGATCCAATACACCGGCAAGCGAACAAAAATAACGATTTGAGGTGCATTTCTAATTGCCCGTCTCGTGTAACTAAACATGCAAATGATCCGAATCAGCTCTAAGTATGATGCAGTTTAATTCTGCGACACTGCTAACTACAAACACGACAAATAAAAAATACTGTTAAATGAACAGCCCTCTGAGAATATCCATTACCATTAGCATTCTTACTTACCAGTTGGTATATTAAAACTATCCTAATGAGGTGTCCAGGTAAGAACACTGTATGGGCCAATATCACTATAAAGCATGGATGTCACTACACTGCGGCGAGGGGGAACGAAAGTCCCGTCAGAAATCGGTGTTGCCTCAGTTAAGCCCCTCCAGCATTTTATTTGCCACGCTATAATGTATGCATAAATTATTTTCTCAGCTCCCGCCATGTATGCATCAATCAAGGCCCCCTTTAGCCCCAGGAGTGAAAAAAAAAAAATCCCGGATCCATCCCAGCTTGGTGGAGGGTCACGTACCTCTGTGGTCCATGTGGCTGGCCACAACAGGATGCAGGTTTCCAGTCTTCAGGTAAAGCAGGAAACCGGCTGCAGGATTGTACCTCTCCAATGTCATCAGAGTGTACAGAATCACCTTGACACAGACAAGACTCGACATGATCTTTTTTGAAACCCCTAAATACAATCCTGTATGCTATCGGTACGGAAGTACTGCCAAACCTGCTCTTCACACTTAGAAAAGTAAAAATTGAAAAGGTTTTCTTTCTCCCCTTTGGAGGTATGAGCTCTTGCAAGTCTCTCTCTGGGGATTTTGTGAGGTCAGATTTCAATAATTCACAATCTCTGTGTTTATCATGGAAAAAGTTCCTAAGTAAGAATTCCTCGGAAACAGCAAAACAGTCTTCATTTTTTTTGTTTTTGATTGTAGAGGGAAGGCACAATGGAACGTAGTATACAAGGTCTTCCGAGCAACACGGCAGCTGTTGTCACCCTTAAACGATAGCCACTGCTGGCATTGCTGTTGCAAGAAGACGGGAATCTGCTTGCCGTCAACTCTGCAAACTACTGGTCTTTCTAATCGAATCCATAATACTGGTCACCCTTTCTCTTCATCAGCAACAGCGCCCCTACATGGACAATTTCCAGATACACATCGTTCTTTCCTGCAACTATTACAGCACACAGTATTTTTCATTGCCAAATACTTTCTACCAACCTGACTACGATGTTCTATTGAGTTGGACTCCCTTCCAGTTTTCAGCTCCAAGGGGATGGTCATCACTTCAGAGGATTTGTGACTGACGTTTCGGGTCCTTTGGATTCGAACTCGTGTCGTCAAGTCGATCTTCCCTTTGAGACCAAATCGCGGCGACCACACATTCTCTTCGATGTCGGCCAGCTCTGAAATGGTAGCGGTGGCGGAGTCCTGCGTCTTGCCTGCAATCCCGCCATTGCTTGGGCTGCAGTCCCAACCAAAAAAAAAAAAAAAAAAAGAGACAAACTTAAAATGGGAATAAGACATTTACAAATAAATGCGCACTGAGAGAAAATGTTTGTAAATCAGCAGTGTTGCAGTGTTACATTTTGAGACTGATGGCTTTTGATGTTGGTGAGGTAAGGTATTCCTTTGCCCAGAGCTCCAATGAGGGCAGGTAATCATACAGCTCCTGTTTCATCTCCTCCTGAGTGACACCCAAACTGTACCTACACACACACACACACACACACACACACACACACACACACACACACACACACACACACACACACACACAAAATAAATCAACAGAGTGAGACTTTCCTCTTTCATCTCATTTTGTACTTCTGCTGGCTGGGGGGAAAAAAAAAACAAAAAACAACAACTTACATGTCACCAAGATGCTGGGGACTGTGAAGAGCATCCTCGGCCATGTTCGACAAAGCACCCAGAGAGAAATCTTTAGCTGTGGCCGCTCTCTGAAAAACTTTGTGGATGATGGTGCCGTTCAGCATCTGTTTGGAGGCGCCGTCGAAACTCTACTTCCCCAAATAAAATAGCAGAGGATAAAAGACGGTGGAGGGCAAAGAATGAGATGCTGAATCGAAAAGTGATACTTGTGGACCACAAACGTAATTTGGCCTGTCATATATCTTTCATATAGCCAACAAAACCTTGAAAAGACTACGATTCACATCTTCTTCTTAATCAGTGTTCGTTTGGATTTGATAATGATGTATGTTCATCTGAAAAAATATCAAAAAGATGTCCTCAATTGTATTTCCATTCAGGCCACTTCACAACAAATTCCGAAAATAAGCCATTCATTAATATGATGCTAAAATCAAGAATAAACAAATGCAAGTGGGAAATAATATTAGATATGAATCATGCTGTGACTAAATTATATTTATATCTTCAAAATTACCCGTGTCCTTCCGATGTTGATATGGTGGCCTTGAATGTGAAAATCTAAATTGTACGGTACTGTATTTGAAGATTTTGCTTCCAAAGTGAAATAACTTCTGACCTTAAACATTTCCCCGAGCACCGCCCGCCTCATACAGCGGATGGAGCTGGAGATGCTGGTGCCTGAAACAAGACTGTCGGGAAGTAAAACCAGCAGGCCTTGTTCTTGGTCCACCACCCAGGATCCGGCATCAGCGCGGCCCTCAAGGTGGACCACATCACCGCGGCCAACGGGAGTCATCTCCCTGAAAATAAAATAAAATAAATAATTTAAAAAATTAATCAATTAATCACCATGTTGGAGGGATAAAGGAAATGTGAAAATTCTTGAGCAGCAGAGGATGCCCTACCATCCGTCCTTCAGCAGACACGTCTCAGTGGGCTGCAGAGATCTGAAGTGCGTGATGGTCAGGATTTTTTGATTCAGCTTCTCCTCCACGTTTAAAACCCAGTAGCGGTTGTTTGGACCGCCACAGAGGATCACGTGATCTGGTAACTTACTGCAGAGAAAAATAAAGATGACTGACGGTCAGATGTAGTCTATTTATACCAAGGAGTGGATCAAATATTTCTTCTAAATTTCACATTAAATATTGTATTCAATTAATATATTGTACATAACAAGTCTTACAATAAAATATTTGCCACCCCTCTGTTCTAAAAAAAAAAAATGGCCCTGAAGCACAAAAAAATTAGACTACACCTGATCGAGATGGATACCTATTATTTAGTGCACTCCTTGAGAAATTGCAGGTGGTGTCACCTAATGACAATGTTTTTTTTTTTGTTGTTTTTTTTTTTAAAGTGGGGGGAAGAAGTGGTCTATTTGAGGTGTGGTATTTATTTACATTGGCAATGCAGGGCGACTTTTAGAGCAGAGGCCACTATTTGATGAAATATGATGTGTGTGTATAAATTACACACATACACACGCGCACACACAGTATCTTAAGAATATATCCTATGTTGATTGATTTTAAATGAGGAGAGCATATCCTGTGATTAAGTTTGCATCTAATGGGCATCTGTGACTGGCTGTGATTGCTTGATGAGATACGTCAAAACATTTGCGATGACAGTCACAATGATGATATCATGATAGAGCGTAAAAAAAAAAAAAAAAAAAAAAAAAAATTTTACGAAACTTGATTACAGAGAGGAAAACCTGGCCAAAATTTCACAGTGCACATTTCAAGGGAACAGGGCTGTCCGTAAGCAGAGCATTACCAGGGTTTCTCCTTGGGGAGGAGACATCCACTTGGCTCCATCTGCTCTGTGAACCAGCTCTCCTCCAGATCCTCTTGCATGGGAAATGCTGAAGTGGTCACAGTTTCACCTTATTTAGCATAAAATAGAGTTATCTTATTGCGTGTAAAACTTGACCGACAACAATATTGTTGTTGCATCACAACAATTGTTGAAGTAGCAGGATGCACCTCTTGCTGGCTTCTCATTGGGTGATTTCAGTTTGTGCCGAACCACATCTGAAGATTCCAAGGCCGTTGGATCTTTCTCCACAAAGTCAACCTGTCCTTCCTCGACATGTGTCTGTTCTGCAGGTGTGTCGGCTTGCCCGTCAGGTGTGTGCACATAGACGGCCTCACTTTTGTTTTCTGTCGTCTTCTGCTCAATTATGGCTGTAAAAACAGTCTCGCCCCCATGTTTATGTTCTTTGTCGGGGCTGTGTTCCAATGCATTAGCAGTTCTTGGCCTCTTGGCTTCACGGAGCTCTTCGGAAGGACTGACGAGCCTTTTGAACAAGTCAGAACTCCCCCTTTCACTGTCTGACATTACACTCAGACCTTTGGAGCAGGGACTTGGACAGACAGGGGACAAGTGGACAGGTTTCCACACAGTCGCTGTTTCTCTCCTGGGCTCAGGGCTCAGGTCTTTGTGGCCTCTGGAGAGCGAAAGTAACATTTGACTACTTGGGGTCTCGGGAACCAGGAGGAGGTCTGGAGAGGAGGGAAGAAAGTTCTCAATATCCCTGAGGATGCTCCTCTTTAACGGAGAGTACGCTTCAGTGGGGAGGACACCTCCATTTTGGACCTGGAGCACAGAGCTTTTTCCTGGTGACTTTGGGGGTAAAGCCTGAAAGCAGCAAATGGATTTTATTATTGCTAAAGACGCAAACCAATAAAAGTCTCTGCACTATTATGGAGAACATGGAGAAGGAAAGGAAAAACAGTGAATCCAAAGCACACCACATCAAGTGCCAAACATAATGGAGGCCGTGTATACATATGGTACATGTACAACTGCTAATAGAACTGGCTCACTGGTGTTTATCAAAGCTGTGACTTCGGACAGAACTAACAAGATGAACCGAGAGGCATACAGGACTTACATCCAGCCAAATATGTGTCAACAGCAGAGATGCAATTGGACTTGTATGAAAATACAAATATACTGTATATATGATTTTAACTGACTTACCAGGTTTGTCGACCTTTCTAATGTAGTCGGACAAAAAAAATCTCCGTTCAAGTCCTTTTCCTCAAGCCATAACCACTTGAACGTGTTCCTAACACTCACGTCTATTGCACGAATGTCAGCTTGCCTGTCTACCCGTTTGAACTTTGTACTGGGGCCATACCTGGCCGATGACACTGAATTAGTTTACACAAGGCGTTATTCAAATACTCAACATTCAATGTTGAATCTGCCTTTTGTGTGCACACCTGCACCCTTTGTGGCTTCCGTTCTCGCCGAAAATTCGAAATCTCCTAGATATGGCGAGGCCATGAGAATGCGAGGGGGAGGGGTGTTACTGTTACTAGTGTTAGTGCAGGGGTAGGGAACTCCGGTTCCTTGAGAGCCATATCCTGCGTGTTTTAGATCCCACCCTACTCCGATACACCTGATTCAAATCATCAGCTCATCAACAAGCCCTGTAGAGGTTTGAAACAATCATAAACAGTTGAATCAGGTGTGTTGGAGTAGGGAGGGATCTAAAACAGGCAGGATATGGCTCTCGAGGAACCTGAGTTTCCTACCCCTGTGTTAGTGCCTCAATATGGCTACGCTTGTGAAAGCAAAACAACGAAATCAAACGCGTGTTCGTTCAACGTTGTCAACTAATATCCGGATTAATTTTAGGGAATTTTTCCTCAATTTTCCGGAGGAATTTTCATGAATATTTGAAGGACTTTCATAACTGCAACAGAAAGTGAACGAATGGATCGACAAATCATTTCAATCGAATGAGTACATTTAACCCTGGAGAACCCACGGGGTCAAATTCGGCCCCTATAAATTCTGCTACTCAAATGCTACCTTTAAATCCCAAAGGGTCAAATTCAGCCCTAATCCTAAATTAGGATTAAAGCATTGAATATTTGAAAAAAACATATTTTGGTGTTCAGTGAACATATAGCAGTCATTTAATGTATAATTCATCATTTTCCAAAGACGAAAAGGGTTCTTGGGTTCTCCAGGGTTAAACCAAACGTGCCAAGAGTATCGATAATTGTGGGCTTTATACAAAGCATCTTTCATAGAAGTGACACAGACATCGAGGGGAAAACAACAGCTTCAAACTGTTACGGGAAAACGCAAATGAATAACAATCAGCATTATTTCGTGTTGATGTTTCAGTACAAAAGCAACTTTATGCACCTTGTTTCCAGGGGTAAAGAAAGTAGAGATGTCTCTCTGTCCTCCTGGCGTCACCTGATAAAGAAAGACATTAAATGCTGTTTTAGAATAGGGATGGTTGTTTTCCATCACCCAGGCAGATTAAAGCAGACCACGCAGAAATCTGAAGAGGAGCAGAAGCACCTGTTTTGACAAGCGAGTGACTCGTAACACGTTGCATTTCTTTTCAAAAACACGAATATAATGAAACTATTAGAAGTGTGAAATTGATATTGACAGCAGTAGCGTCATCTCACCTTGGGAATCTTCAGTTTGGTTCTGTTCATGTTGGCCAAAGTAGTCAAATCTGGTCTGGCTTCCTAGCGTGAACACAATCCAGGACAAACGACTACTGTATTTCCATGCTAAGTTAGCCGATACCGCTAACGTCCGATGGCTCCAGTCGGCGTTGGTGAACGTTGTATTTTTACTGAGGACGCGATTCAACAAAAGGGAATCTTAGTGACGGGATTGAGTTTGTGTTATCTACCGTATATGTGACATCTTGAAGTTTGCTTGAGCGCGCCATACAATACGAGTTTGGCGCAACGGAAATGACATAATTATATATTTCCGGTAAATATTTTAAAAAATAATACATAACTTAATGGGAGAAGTAAATCAAACATAAATACAACACTATACAGAATACATAAATAAAACATAGGAATAACAATACATAGTACGTGAAATATATAATTAAATATTTTTGGGGGTTTTAAATGTTACTGTGTTTATTTGTATTCTTTTCCTCCAAACTTTTTTCACATGGTAGTTTCCACATTTCTCAACCGAATCAAACCAAATATTTGCAAAATTTAGGACATGCAGGGAGCTATTTTCCACATTCTAAAAATCCGCAATTTTCCCACAATTCCTCATTTTCAATACTAATAATAACAATAAAAAAAAATAATAATAATAATAATAATAATCGTAATCATAATGCAACAAATGAACAAGGTTTCATTTTATAAGTGTTATGTCACTTTTTATAGGGCAAGGAACCATATTTGGAAGGTTTATCTAATCATGAACACCATAAGGCAGTAGAGGAATGTGATTTCTCACAACCCAACAAAAACACAAATGAAAGAGGGGAGGGAGGGGTTGAGAGAGAGAGAGAGAGAGAGAGAGAGAGAGAGAGAGAGAGAGAGAGAGAGAGAGAGAGAGAGAATTGTATCTGACTAATTAGACAATTTGGAGCTCAAATTCTGTTAATTAACTCTAACTAATTAACTAAGAATCTCGTGAATCTGAAAGCACCAGGCAGATTAGAATGATGTGGCAGCTGGAATCTGATTAGACAACAACAACAAAAAAGTCTATACATCCCGATACAAACCCAATTCCAATGAAGTTGGGACGTTATCCATCCATTATCGAGCCGCTTTATCCTCAAGAGGGTCGTGGGCATGCTGAAGTCTATCCCAGGTGCTTTGAACAGTAGACGGGGGTTAATCCTGAACCGGTTGCCAGCCAAATACATAGGTGTTCATCTGTGTGCCCACACAGATGAACACCTATGGACAATATAAAGTGTTCCATTAACCTGCCATGCATGTTTTTGGAACGTGGGAGGAAACTGGAGAACCTGGAGAAAACCCACACAGGTACGGGGGAGGACATGCAAGGCAGGCAGACCAGACTTGTATCTGTTCTCTTTTACTACAAAGGCACCTGTTAACATGCAGAATGGGTTTTGCCATTATCTTGCTGAAATTAGCAGAGGCCACCATCAAAAAGACATTGCTTGGATGACAGCGTATGTGTCTCCAAAACCTGTATATACCTTTCAGCATTAATGGTACCTTCACAGATGTGTAGGTTACCCATACCACAGATACTGGCTTTTGAACTGCACCCATTGACAGATGGTTTGTTTCCTCTTTGGCCACCTCGTCTACAATTTCCACAAACAATTTGAAATGTGGACCCGTCCGACCACAGAACACTTCCCGCAATTCCTTGCAATTGTACGGTGAGGAACATTGTCCTTTAAACTGTTCAACCGTTTTCTCAAGTAGTTGTTGGCAAAGAGGTGAATCTCGTTCTATCTTTGCTTGTGAATGACCGAGCAATTCAGGGAAGCTCCTTTTTGAGCCAATACTGGCACCCACATGTTCCCCGTTAGTGTTGTCATCTGCAGGATGTTCCAAAAAGATGTTTGATGAGCAACCCTCAACTTTTTCTGTCGTTTTATCTACCATTTTATGCGACCAGCAAAGCTAAATATGCAACGCACAAATATTAACTACGTTAACCTGACGATGGAAAATTAGAGTGCATAAAGTTAAGTGGAATTCAGAATCATAAAAGAAGTATAAAAGTGAATGATCCACAGTTATAAAAAAGAAGTATAAAAGTGAATGATCCACAGTTATAAAACAATCTATTTTTCTCATTACAAGACAGTGTGCCAATTTGAAGTCAAAATGTGAAATCATGTTGGGTGCCAAAAAAACGAAATGACAAGGACACGCGTGCGTGTATAAAAGCACCGTGAAACAAAAAGACAGGGAAGCAGAGCTCTGAGATTAACTACCTCATTATTTTCGGCACACAGTCTTGTGAAAAATTCGTCATCGTAAACCGAAGGTGACAAAGGGTTTTAAATGATTTTCCTTTGATGCCAAAACAACTCCATCATAATGACATTTCATATAAAAACCAATTCTGTAATACCGTTGTAGGTAATATTGCTTGAGTGGGTCTAGGGCCTTTGACTTGGATAGTGACATTTTCATTTCCTCCTGAAAGTTAAACTCCTTTTAAGTATCCTTCAAAAACAATGAATCAACTGTTGGAGAAATTATTTTACAAAGAGAACCTTTACGGTAATCCCCCCTCCATCTGAGGGGTTATGTTCCGGAGCACCCTCGCAAAAAGTGAAATCCACGACATAATGTAAAAATACTATTTAAATACGTTTGAAGTATATTTTTGTAACATTTACAGTGCTTAATTTTTTGTAAGGTCTTTCAGGACACTTTTGTAATAATACAAACACGTACAATACAATACAATACAATTCAATACATCCTGATTTATATAGCACTTTCACAACAGCTGCAGCTGTAACAAAGCACTTAACAAAACAGTTAAAATAAAGTACAATAATAAACACAACACATAGCAAAAAAGGACAGTCGTGCAATCACTAAGGGCTAGAGCAAATATTCTTGGACAAACAGGGCAACAAAATATCGATTCTGCTATGTGTTCACAGAAAACGAATCCCGCTTTATCCAAAATAATAAAATTATCATCTCATAAATAATTATGCTAAAAGATGTACATGACAAAGCCATCAGGTTCTGATGAAACGTGGTTTGCATTCACTCATTTTCAACAAAGAAAATAGGGTGTGCTGAAACACAGGTCATTTTCGTTCTTTCAAATTTACATTGTCTCATCCAAAATCAATGAGAGTTGGACCAAAATAATTATAAACTGCACAAAAAAGATTAAGAAAAATGGCGAGATTGTGAACCCGGAACCTACGATGGAGAGGTTTTTACTGTATATGTGTCACATAGAGGACCCATAAAAAAGCAGGGAGGCAGACGGAGCAGGGAACCAAAACGTATTATGAAAAACACTTGCCGAGGCACAGTGGAAAAATGAAATCCCAAACACAAAGTTCTGAAATATCCAAGAAAACGAAGCAACAAAACAAACAAAAACCCATGACAGTAGCACAAGCAAAATAACATGACAGTAACAGAACGATCCGAGAAAGACTGACAGAACCAAATACAAAACGAAATACTTTACAAACAAACTGACGAGCCAACAAGGAAGACCTGGACAAGACCTCAAGGGTTGAGGGAGCTGATTGGTTGACACCAGGGACCCGGATGACAAAAACAGGTGGACACAAAACCTAACGAGGAAGACGAAAGCACGTGAGGAAACAAAACCAAATGACAATATGCAAATGATTTTTTTTTTTTTTAAACCAGAGTCATTTTCCAACAAATAAATTGTCACAGTGAATCACTCCCTTGAAATTGCAAATGGTTTCAATGCGGTGATGCCTCATAAATTCGTATTTTCTACTCCAGGAAAGCAGATTGGCCATACGTGTGTTCTGCAGACAGATATCCTGCTGCTGTTGAATGAAGCAGCGTGCGATGCAGCGCTGTATGCCTCCAGGTGGGGCCAAAGATTGGAGAAGTGATTGCCCGTTGATTGTTTTCAAGAGCTGACGCGCTCAGCTGGTCTGAGGGCTTATGAAACACACACACACACACACACACACACACACACACACACACACACACACACACACACACACACACACACACACACACACACACACACACACACACACGGCGGGGAGACTGTGATTAGTGGCCCCCGGATCCTTTCCTGGCGTACAATTAATCTCAGGTGTGGGCTGACTTGTACTGTACATGAAATTGAACTCCATGACTCAAAGAGCTTCCCGCCTACAACTCCCACTGGAAAAGGCCATCTTTTTAGCTTCTTCCCTCTCCGCCATTAACTCCCTAAACGAGAACTCAAATCAATCGTGGCTCTTTGCATTTTTGCACACCCCTGTGGAATGGTATTACCGCATTGGTCAATCTACATATTTGAACAGTTGTCGTTGATCGATATTCTACAGTACCAGACACTTTAAAGTGTTCAAGGACTTTCTGCATAATTCCACTTTATGTCGGCTCGATGACTCTGCACATTGTCGCAAAGCTGTCATTGGGTTGGTACTACTGCACAGTGGTTCCCTTACGTGACGGGAATTTTTTCGTGTGTTCGACACACTTGGCCAAGAAAGATGATTCTGATTCAGATTTTTTTTTTTTTTTTTACAAAGTGCGAAAAATGCCCTCGGACAGTGTCCACATATGGATCCATAAAAATGAGTGTAATTAAGTCCTTTGCACAAATTGCTCTATTTCAATAAATGATGTCCATGTACTGGTGAAAGTGTCATCCATTGATGGGAAGTAACGAGTACAGACACATTATTGTTGTACTTTTTGGTTTATTTAGATTTGTGCGGTATCGCTTAAACTGCTGTTCAGATCTTGACTGACTGAGAACTGGAGGACTTTTAACGTGCAACGTAAATCAGGGAGCAAGAGCGACAGCAACGCAATTAATTTGGAGAAGGGAAATTTTGCACCCCTGCGACCCTTGTGAGGATGAAGCGGATTGGAAAATGGATGGATGGATGGATTTTGCACATGGATCCACGGCTTTATTTTAGAAATGTTTTCAACAGCCGGCAACAAAAAGGATTCATGGTCAAAGCGTTGCCTTGTGCCAACCTGAAACCACCAAAGAGGTGTATTTTTTTCATCATAACCATAATCAAGCATTTTTTTTTTTTTGTTTGTTTGAACACATTTTAATACAATAAAAAGCTGAGCTATAACTAGGTCGGTTAGCTGTCAACTTGGGTCACGTCTAGAACTGGCTTTTGCATGAGACGTGTCAGGGCTGCTGCCTCTTTCCCTTGAACCATATTGAGATAGACTGCCAGAGAGTCAGTCGCATCCAGCTCGTGTTCAAGCACTCTTGCCTTCATTTG